AGGCGGAGAAGCAATGGAAGGCATCCGGACACCCCCCTACCCTGCCGCCGCTTGGAGCTGCGCCGGGCAACCCCAGCCATGCCCGGACTCCCGGGAATCCAACCATGGCTGGGATAGCCAGGCGTGGTTTGGCTCCTGGTGCCAGCGGGAAGCTGCGCCCCGCAACCCAAGCCATGCTCAGACTCCTGGGAGTCCAACCATGGCTGGGATAGCCGGGCGAGGCTCCCTCCAACCATGGCTGGGATAGCCAGGCGTGGTTTGGCTCCTGGTGCCAGCGGGAAGCTGCGCCCCGCAACCCAAGCCATGCTCAGACTCCTGGGAGTCCAACCATGGCTGGGATAGCCGGGCGAGGCTCCCGGCGGCGGACCCACCTCCCCCTTCCAGTCTGTAGGCCACGTATCTGCCGCCATGGGAGGCATCTCAGAGGTCCCCCCCACCGCCAATAGTGCCTCTGAAGCACTATCAGTGGTGGTGGGGACCACCGAGAGGCCTCCGGCAGCAGCGCCGAAGCCCTCAGAGTCCTCCGGCAGCCTCGATGGCTGCGGCGGGGGACATCCGAGAGGCCTCTGGCAGCCGCGCCGAAGCCCTCAGAGTCCTCCAACAGCAGTGATGGCAGCGGCAGGGGACCCTTGAAAACTTTGAAAAGGTAAGGTGATTTTTAAAATATTTATTTTTAATTTTTGTGGGAGGGGTTCTTGGGCCAGATACGGATTAATAGGTTTGCAATGCATTCCTATGGGGAATGCATTTTCGACCTACGGACTCAGTTCCAATACGGATTAATTCCGTAGGTCGAGACCCCACTGTACAGAGCAGGCATACGCACAGCGAAATGTTGACGTCTTGTAATTTTAATTGTTGATTTACTCAATTATGAAGTACATGGCAAAATGACTGAGTGTTGTAACAACCTAGCTAATTTTTTTCCTCCTAGTTTGTATAAGTAATTGACAGGGAAAATCTATTCATGTGAATTGTTAGAGGACAGCTTTATAGATACCATGGACTATTTATTTATTATTTTATTTATTCATTTGATTTATATCCCGCCCCCCCCCCAGACAGCGTCTCCTTGGGGCGGCTTACAAAATCATAAAATATCATTAAATAACAATAAAAACATCACAAATAATCAAAAATAAATAACATACATAAACATTTGAACAATAATATAGTGTGATCAAGATGGGGAATAAAAGAAGAGAAAAATAGAATTCAAGAATTGACAGGAGGGAAAGCCTGCCTGAAGAGCCAAGTTTTTAAATGGCTCTTAAAAACACCCAGCGAGGGAGCCAGGCGGATCTCTGATGGAAGGCCGTTCCATAGTCAAGGGGCCACTGCCAAGAAGGCCCGGTTTCTTGTTCTTTCTTTCCGGGCTTCTCTCGGCGTTAGGCCCCTCAACCGACCCTCCTACCTATGCTGAGTAATTCGCACATTACTACCACAAGACACATTTCTAGAGGAGATTAGGTCTGGACTTTCACTAGAAGCATTTAGATTAAACTTGAGGCTATTGTTGTTTGGATATATGAGAAGACTCACTGGCAGAAATAATAATTTTAGGAAAAGTAGAAGAGAGAATAACTCAGTAAAGATCCATGGCCTTTAGTTTGCAAGACCTGAGCAGATCTATTAATGACAATGTTATGGTGACCCTTTCTTAGTTCATAGGGTCACCATAAGTCAGATGCAACTTGATATGTAACAGAAGTACAGTACCTGCTTTTCAGAGTTTTAAATCATCATTCTTTATTACGGTCACAGACCAGCAAGATTATAAAAAAAAACACAACATACAGAAAGAACTGCTATATGTAGTATGTGAATCCTTCTTTCAAGGTGATTGCAACATTTTCTCTCTAGTTCTCATAGTAATCAATAAAATTTTAGATACCCTGTCAGTAATATAAATGGACACACCCTCTAAGCAAGATATTAACAAATCTGTGAGGCTACCATGCAGAGAGAGACCCATTAGTGGAGAGATTAACTCCTTTCTACAACCATACATTTAAATGGTCTTAGTATCTAGTTTGACCAATCTCCGGGAGGCAGTGGAAGACAGGAGGACCTGGTGTCTGGTCCATGGGGTCACGAAGAGTCGGACATGACTTAACGTCTAAACAACAAAAAGTATCTACAGTCATTAGCATGTATTTTGTTGCATTTTATATATATAGAAAAAAATAATATGACAATAGTAATGTAGAAGAGAGACACTAACTATGAATATTAAATGCATGTACAATGATCTTTTTTGTGTCTCATCCTTCAGATGGCAGTATGGGAGAAAAGTATGGGCAAAATCCAGACTCCTGAAAACACTCCCCGTCTGTTTGACATGGTAAAAGTTAAAGATGAGAAAGTTCGCCAAGCTTTTTACTTCGCATTACAAAATACTCTGGTAGCCAATAACCTGGATCAGGCTACCAAAGTTGCATTTCAAAAAGACAAGAGATGGAGAGTTGTAACTTTGCAGGGTCAAATCATAGAACAGTCAGGTATTTTTAACATACAAAATTATATTTAAAAACTGAACCTGGATGTGAAATTAGGAGGTCTAATTTATTTATTTTTTGTTGACCATTCCATAGGGACAATGACTGGTGGTGGAGGAAAAGTAATGAAGGGTAGAATGGGATCCTCTGTTATACTTGAGACATCAGAAGATCAGGTTAGTGTACCTGGGATATGTTTGCCTGAAAAGTTACTAACGTTCAAGTACACAAGTGGGCAGTGGGTGCCATTATGTTCTTCCTTTTTCTTGATATTAAAACTCTTCTGAAATTAGTTGAACTAAGGAAATATGGAATACAGTGATGCCTAGACTTACAATCATAATCCGTTTCAGAAGATGGAACGGAAGTCGAAATGGTCGTAAGTTGGTCGTGAGAACATAATCTGTTTCGGCCACATACAAAAAATACCCCTCAAAAAATGAAATAAAAATAAAACACTGCAAGCCCCAAAGGGCTGCAAAAAAAACTATCCCAAAAATAAACAGTGCAAGACCCACGCTGGGACTGCAGAAAAAAATATCACCAAAAAAACACAAAACAAAACATCACAGAAACATAACACACACACACCAGCCAAAACCCACCCAGAACAGTTTTTTAAAAAGGAAAAAACAGCACCTTACCTTACCAGGCAGTCCAAAGCCTCCTCCAATGGCACTCACTCCCCAGCTGCCACTAAGGTGGCGGTGGGGCCGGCCATAGCGGAGGCCAGGGGGAGCAGCTGGAGGTCCTAGCTAAGAGGAGCCTCTCCTTCCAGCAGGACGTGGGCGCAGCCAGGACGGCAGCCTGGCTCCAGCAGCTGCTTGTCTCAGCTCCTCGCTGCCCTCCGCGGGGCCAATGTCACCGCTGGCTCCCGTTCCTTGGCATAGTGGTGGAGGGGACCCTGATCCCAGAGTAAGGATCCTTCCGTGCCGCCGCTGCCTCCTTCCTCCAGGATCACGGTCCCTCCACCCCCACGCTGAGGACTGGGAGCCAGCAGCGGCATCAGCCCCACAGAGGGCAGTGCGGAGTGCTGAGGGACGCCCCTGCTACTGCATTCCTTTCCCAGTTAAAGTGTAAAAGTTAAAAATTTCCCTGACCCCTGCTCTAATAATTGGGGCAAAAGAGCTACAAAGAAGCAGCCTCTTCACCACCAACGGTTAGCTATTTGAATTTCCTGCATTTTCCCCTGCATTTTCCTGGTCATAAGTGGAAGCTCCGGCTGCAAGTCGAAGCAAAATTTTGTGGCCAGAGCTGGTCGTAACTCGAAATGGTTATAAGTAGGGACGGTCGTAAGTTGAGGCACCACTGTATAATTGTGGTATTGGGCTTTAGTCCTAAGTATGCAGCTGAGTCAGTCCCACTAAACTTGTCAGAAGTTTTCCAAGTATATATAAGGCTTACTGCAACCCAATTTGGCAATTGGACTGCAATAAGACAGAAGCTAAATTGGGATTTTATTAGCCTTGCACATAATAATTAATTGATGTATCATTTTGAGACTCCAACTAAGCATTGGGTTTGCATTCTCCTCATTCCAATAACAGCCTAAAAGGGAGATTAGAAGCTTTAGCTTTTGTTTCGTCTTTTCTAAACCTGGACAAATTTTAATTATTCTTATTTAAATTTTATTGATACAAACAACCTTCAGACATATTTATAAAAATGTCTTGTTTCGGTAAACCATGGTTTACAAAAGGTGCTCAGATAAAATGAATTTGTGCTTCAAATTGTATCATGTTTATTCACATGATTTTCTCCATGTAAGAAAAATAATCTATATGAAGAGGCTCTAAGTTTCTTTTTCTTACAGTTAGATCAGTCTTTTCCAACCTTGCAATAGCCAGTGTGCACTATCTATGTTTCTACTTTTTAAAAAATCAAAAAGCAAACTTGTGATCCAAAACCAGGCTATGTGGATGAGGGGGCGGAGGAACCTTATGCAGAATGATGAACTGCCTCAGTCTGAATTACTGAGTGGAAATGTCCAACCGCATGTTACCAGGGGTGAAGCATAAAACCATACCTGGCTATAACCAGCTTTAAACTTATCTTAAGAACTTTTGCTATGAAGTTTTGGGATATTTATTTATAATTCTTCTGCACTATCCACAAGTTACTGGTGCAGCCTAAAGAATTGGTTTTTAATTTACAAAAGCTCGTTTTTTATTTTTTATTTTTTGTTTTCTAATAAAGGTGTCACATTCTTCTACATTTGTATTGTGTTCTTTGTTACTATTCTGCTTCCATGCTCAATTTAACTATATTATTCTCTTACTTTCTCTTGCCACATGGGTCACCAGAGTCTTCAAATTATGTCTTAAGTTTGTAACAAAACTACATTTACTAGCAAGCAAGAATATTGTAAAGCTATGTTTGAACATATGCTAGATGACTTTCCATTCTGCCCAGTAAGTGTCATCCTGCTCCCTTACCTGTAAATTGGAAAAGGGCTAGGAGCATATGTGGCACCGTTCCTTATGAACTTGTTTCTTCTTATTAACAACTAGATTTCAAATGTCAGCTGTGTTTCAAGATGAGTTTCTAAGCCACCTACTTTTTTTCCCCCGAACTAATTTTATTTGCCACTTTGGAGCTTTTCTAACACACTTTTTCCTTGTCTTTCTTACTTACTGCTTGTTTTGTCCATGTTTTTCTTATCTTCTTATTCACTAAACTATTTTGTCACCAAAGCAAAACAAATACTGAAACATGTATTACTGCATTGGTTTCTTCATATAACTGTTATAAGTATTGTATTAATGGTTCTGCATTTTATTTTATGTAGGTAAATGAAATGGAATTTGAGCTGCAAACAAAATCCAAGAAAGCCATGCAGTATCAGGAGCAAAAAGTGCAGCTTGAAGAAATGATAGCAAAATTGCGCCAGAGTGTCAGAGAGATGAGGAACACCTTAGAAAAGTACAGTGCAAGTATTCAGGTAATCATCATCATATATACAAAAACTAGTGTTAAGTAATTGTGCTAAACATCTCTGTGCAAACAATTAACATGCCGGTGTATTTTTCAGAGTTTATCTGAACAAGAAGCTCACTTAGAAGTTCAGGTTAAAGATCTTGAAGCAAATGCAGCTGCTGCTGCTCCAGACAAAGTGAAACAAAAAGAAATGGAGAAAAAATATAATGATTTCAAGGAAGGTAAGTAAATTTCAAAGTTAAATGAAACTAATGATGAATTAACAAGTGATGTTTAAAAACTACTGATGCTATTTAATAAAGTTAAATATCTCTTTTAACCAAAATAAGTTTGCTTTTGTGAGAACTGTCATTGTACAAATATCTTAATTGTACAATTTATAGTAATGATGCCAGTTTAACTAAAAGGGTTGCATAGAATTTTATATACAAATGTTTTATGTGCTTTATTTTGGGAATGTACTCATGAAAAGGTGAATAAGAGATGTATAAGTAACTTTATTTTCAGGTTGAATAAACTCAGTGTTTTCAACCAATATTCTGAACACTTTCATTCATATTCTCTTTGTCATTATTAGGTTTTAGGAAAGCCAAATGGGACATGTTTAATGTATCATTTTGCTCTGCAAAATGTATGATTATAAACCATGTATTTCAAAATCCAACATTCTCAATGTAACAATATTTTTCCTGCATGAAATATTCTCATTATTGTGCTACTGTGCTGTTTTCTAAAAAGTTATTTTTCTACCTTCTCTAATTATTTGCTTAGTCTGAAAGTAGTGTGCTTTAGCTTAATTACCCCAACAAATGTAACACAGGGATATTTGTTACAGACCTAGTTTTTAAACAATAATGATCCTTTTGTAACATAGACATATGTAAACATTGTAATAAGAATTGTTTTGTTATGTAATGATTAGTTATCAGATGTGAAGCTTTAGTTCCTATTTTTACTGTCAGAAAGGTTTATTTCCAAAACCTTGCTACTCTGTTTCCCTGAAAATAAGACCTAACCTGAAAATAAGCCCTAGTATGATTTTTCAGGATGCTTGTAATATAAACCTTACTCCAAAAATAAGCCCTAGTTAAGTGAAAGCCCGCCCTCCACCATTGTACAGCACAAGAAGATGACATGACTGTATTTGAATAAACGTAGATTGTTCTACATGAAAAAAATAAAACATCCCCTGAAAATAAGCCCTACTGCTTTTTTGGAGCAAAAATTAATATAAGACCCTGTCTTATTTTGTGGGAAGCACGGTATTGCTTTTAGACAAATAATGTCATGTTGCATGACACAAAGGTAAGGAGGAGTGAAGTGAACACAGTATTAGTTTTCTTAACAAAGTTCAGGTTGAAAACCTTTTAATGAGTTGGAGCACCTGGCTACAGTAATAGGAATTAGGAGTTCAATTTCTTATCATCTGTGGCCTTGAGCAAGTTATACAGTCCCAAAGTGACTGACAAATCACTTCTGAGTATTTTTTTTAATTTTTTAATTGCATTTGTATACTGCCCATCTAGTTGCATGCTACTACTCTGGGCGATTTACACATATAAAAACATATAAAAGCACTACCTCCTCCCCAACAGATATATAATCACTATCTTCCTAATAATCCTTTGTTTGACAGATTATGACCGAGTTGCTGCAAAGGCTGATAAACTGGAAACAGAAGTTAAGAGATTACATAATCTCATAGTTGAAATCAATAATAATAAACTTAAAGCTCATCAAGACAATCTTGATAGGATAAACAAGGAAATTGATAACTGTGCTTCTGCGATTACTAAAGCTCAGGTGGCTATCAAGACAGCAGATAGGTATGATTTCATGTTCATGTGTCAAAATGCCTATAGATATAGAAACCTCACTTGAATTTCTGCCTCATGCTCTGCCAATTTACTATGAAATTTAGTGCTATCCAGGTATGAATTATTATGATTTGACTTGATTGTATCTGTATGATTTCACTATACACTATGAACTGCCCAGAATACTGCATTGTATTAATGGGGTGGTATATAAATTAAGTAAACAAACAAACACAAACCTTCAATTCATAATAGGATTTGAACCAAACAATTAACTGGTCTGTTAATCAGTGGGTATCAATCTGAATATTATTTATAACCAAGCTTTTAAGTGGAGATTTGGTGAACAAACCTCTGTGTAGGTTCACCCAATCTCCATTGATTCAGTGGGCCTACTCTGTTCCATTGTGGGCCTTCTACTGTGCACAGTTGCTTACTGTGCTAAGCAACAGGATTTTGGCTACATAGAGAATGGTAAATATATGTGTGGTTTTAAGTTTTCCAGAAAGTGAAACCGCCAAAGTATGTACCAGGTACCTGCCTAATAAATTAAATACAAATGGTTTCATTTATTTATAGTATGCTTTTTCCAAGGACTATCAAAATGGTTTACAAATAATATTTTCATAATATCAGCATAATTATATTTGTGGGATGGCCAGCCTTTTTTGTTCCTTAGTAGTTAGTATTGCAGTTCATTTTCTTTCCTCCAGAGCAAGAGGCAGATGGAGCTGCAGATGGACTCAGGGGATGGTGGTAGCTAAGGATGCTAACAAAGAGAAGCAGTATGACCTGAATATAACCAAGAAACAGCATGGAAGTTGGCACATATCTTCTATTACTTGAGAAAGCTGATTTATATTCAGAGCCTTAATAAAAGTAGAGAAGAATCTGTATATCTGTTTTATTATATGCTGTCTTTATAGAAACTTAAAAAAATCAGAGGATGCTGTTCTTCGCACCGAGAAGGAGATAGAAGAGAATAGAAAAAATATACAAGACTTAACAGAGCAGCTAAGTGAACTAGATGAAAGAGCCGCTGAAGTTATGAGTGACAGCAAAAAAGCTGAAGTATGTATGATAGTGGCTTGTATTCTTTGAATGGAAAGCACAGCATACAAGCAATAAGTGTTTTTGTTGTATAAAATCAGTAGGGTTTCTGTATAAGTACTAGCAATTTCTTTGGGCCTTCAGCACCAGCAGAAAGCTGTTAAAGAGAAGAATATCAGGAGCACTCCACTGAACTTAAGTTGTACTCCATTAAGCCCATGCTTGTATTGTAATGAAGATACAAATTTATTTCTCTCTTCTTTAGCTTCAGTATTAATACTTAAAAGTATATTAAAGATCAGTATTCTTCGTGTTCCAACCAATAGTCCTGTTACATATCTCATTAAGAAGCAGAGGAGGAAGTGGACAGTCCACAAAATTGGATCAAACTGGAAAGTGTCTGAGGAAACTGACTTGATCCACGAGAACCTACATTAAAATTTATTTATTTAAAATACAGCAGTTGTCTGATAAAGTGGACTTGATCCATGAAAGTCCACATTAAAATTAAGCAGTTAGTCTTTAAGGTACCATTGCAAAATAAAATAATTTATAGTGGGGGACTTGCAGTGAGGCTGCTAAAGTCCAGCTTGTCAGGCATGCAGATTTATAAAGCCTCTGTTTCCTTATTTTTAACAATTGCTCTTCTACAAACATCTACTGTACATCCTATAAAGAGTGCAAGTACAATTTGCCAGAGGTAAAATGCTGTAAATTTTTCTTCATTTTCCAGGAGATGGCAGCACTAAGATAAATGTTGGTTTTTCCCTCATTCTCCAGGCCCCAAAGGACTAGACATTTTCTTACCAGTTAGGGGGAAATGGAGGAGCTCTACAGGTTCATGATGTAGCAGTGCTCAATACAGAGCCATCCAAGAGCCATGCATGAACATCTGTCAGTGTGAAAAACCTCTCTGTGAAAAATGTTTCTCCAACAGTTTTGGAAGAGGTAGCCATATTCGTCTATACTAGCATATAAGGCCAAAAAAAAAAAAAAAAAAAGAAAAGAAAAGAAACAGGCATTTCTTGGTTAGTGTAGGAGTGGAACCAGTGTTACCGTATATTTCTGTGTATAAGATGATAGTTTTGTTTAAAATCTTTATATTAAAAATTGTGGGTCATTGTCTTATACACAGAAGCTGAGGAAAGAACAAAACAGCACATACCTTGCCTCTCCAATCATGAGGCTTAGCTTCCTACAGTCAGGAAACTTACTGTAGCTTCCTCCATTCACAAGCCTTACGGAACTGATGTCAGCTGATGCTGTACAAACCAATTGGAACACACCTCATTGGAGGTGGAGCCTGTAGGCAGTACTCAGATTCAACAAGGACTTCTAATGTCTGATGTTCTGAGCCCAGAGGCTTAATACTCAAAGCTATGCTCTCTTAATTATGGGTTAGAAAGGTGGGGGAGGAATCTTGTACATGGGGGTTGTCTTATAGACAGGAAAATGTGGTAATTCTTTCAGCTCAAGAGGGAAGACCTTAAACAATGGGCTGTTGGCTTCCCTCTAATTCCCCTTCCTGTTTGTCTCCATGAAAAATTACTCGGAGGAGGAAAATATTTGGATGAGTTACTTAGTTCTGCAAGAATCCTTCTGAGAAAGGAGGCAGCAACTTTATCAAGGTCTTGATTAGCAGCCTCGATCCAGATTGGGGCTCCATATAGCAGCTGGGAGAGGATTTTGATTTGAAATATATGGAGAGCAGCCGGAATGTACTGGTTGCCACTGTTGAAGTGGAAACGGGCGACTGCATTTAAATGTGGCATGGCAGACGAAATGGCAGCTTTACAATGGTGAGTCCAGCTGAGTCGGGAGTGGAAGGTGATCCCCAGATATTTGAAAGACTGGACTTGCTGGAATGATAGATTACCAATCTACTCGGAGGAGGAAAATATTTGGATGAGTTAATTAGTTCTGGCTCATGGAGCTCTGCCTCCCTTTATCTAGTACCAAGTTCCAAATAAGGGTGTCGCAGGCTACTTCCACTCTGCTTTTTGCCCCATAGCAAGTAGGGTCAGACCTTGCTACATCCCTCTTGCTGCCAAACCTTATGGCCCAATGTTCCTTCTTGGCCTACTGGAGACTTCCCCACCAGACAGAAGGAACATATGTGCAGAGTATGTCTTGCACTGCTACTGGCACATTGTCTGCATCTCCTGTCTGCTTGCCTTGAAGACCTTTTCTTGGCAGAGACATAGCACTCCAACCCTGGCACCTCAATTATATCCCTGAGTGCAGCTATCATGGAAATGGCACTGGTAGCTTGGCAGAAGAGTATTGTTGTATACCAAGGGGTCATCATCTGCCCTCACTGCCAGTCATCTCATCCAGGTGGGTGCAAGCTAGGTCCTATCTTGCACTTAGTGCTGGAGGGTTGTCCTTTTGCTTTTATTTTTTCCTTCAAGGCAAAAACAAAAGATGAAAATTGCTGCCAACAGTAGTCTTGCAATACCCATCCTATTGAAACACACATAAACACAGTACATTATTCCTCATACACACCTACTCAATGATTGGGATGAAGAGTCACCTCAGGTCCTTATCCCGTCAGGGTGTGAAGGGCAAATTCTTTGTTGCCTTTTACTAAAAGATCAGAAAGCAACAAAAAGTTACAATTAGGTCTTTATGGTGTTTTTACTTGTGAATACTTTGTTGTTGTAACTGGCTATAAACTGCATTGATTCCTCCATGAGGAGAAAGGTGGCTTATAAATGTCTGCTGACCTAAGACTGAAGATATAATGTACATTCCTAATCTGCATTTAGGAGTCCTTACCAGAGATTCAAGAGGAGCATCGCTCTGTGCTTCAAAAGATGAAAGCCATCCAAGAAGAAGAGCATATACTTCAAAAAGAGGCTTTGAGTATTAGGCTTAAAATTGAGCAACTGGACAGTCATATTGCTGAGCATCAAGGAAAGATTAAATATTGGCAAAAAGAGGTAATAAACACTTTTGCTGTTGTTTAGTCGTTAAGTCGTGTCCGACTCTTTGTGACCCCATGGACCAGAGCACGCCAGGCCCTCCTGTCTTCCACTGCCTCCTGGAGTTTGGTCAATTTCATGTTGGTAGCTTCGATGACACTGTCCAACCATCTCGTCTTCTGTCGTCCCCTTCTCCTCTTGCCCTCACACTTTTCCAACATCAGGGTCTTTTCCAGGGAGTCTTCTCTTCTCATGAGATGACCAAAGTATTGGAGCCTCAGCTTCAGGATATGTCCTTCCAGGGAGCACTCAGGGTTGATTTCATTCAGAATGGATAGGTTTGTTCTCCCTGCAGGCCAGCACCACAATTCAAAAAGATAAATTCTTCGGCAGTCAGCCTTCTTTATGGTCCAGCTCTCATTTCCATACATCGCTACTGGAAAAACCATAGCTTTGACTATGTGGACCTTTGTCGGCAATGTGATCTCTGCTTTTTAAGATGCTGTCTAGGTTTGTCATTGCTTTCCTCCCAAGAAGCAGGCGTCTTTTAATTTTGTGGCTGCTGGCACCATCTGCAGTAATCATGGCGCCCAAGAAAGTAAAATCTGTCACTGCCGCCATATCGTCCCCTTCTATTTGCCAGGAGGTGATGGGACCAGTGGCCATGATCTTAGTTTGTTTTTGTTTTGTGTTTTTTTGTTTGTTTTTTAATGTTGAGCTTCAGGCCATTTTTTTGCGCTCTCCTCTTTCACCCTCATTAAGAGGTTCTTTAATTCCTCCTCACTTTCTGCCATCAGAGTGGTATCTGCATATCTGAACTTGTTGCTATTTCTTCTGGCAGTCTTAATTCCGGTTTGGGATTCATCCAGTCCTAACATCAGTCCAATTTTGAACCAATCAGTTGTTCCATATCCAGTTCTAACTGTTGCTTCCTGTCCCACATATAGCTTTCTTAGGAGATCGATAAGGTGGTCAGGCACTCGCACTTTTAAGGACTTCCCATAATTTGCTGTAGTCCACACAATCAAGGGCTTTTGCGTAGTCAGTGAAGCAGAATAGATGTTTTTCTGGAACTCTGCCTTTCTCCATAATCCAGCGCATCTTAGCAATTTGGTCTCTAGTTCCTCTGCCCCTGCGAAATCCAGCTTCTACTTCTGGAAGTTCTCAGTTTTCAGTCCTCATAACTGCTGAAGCCTAACTTGTAGGATTTTGAGCATAACCTTGTTAGCGTGTGAAATGAGTGCAATTTTACGGTAGTTGAAGCATTCTTTGGCGCTGCCCTTCTTTGGGATTGGGATGTAGACTGATCTTTTCAAATCCTCTGGCCACTGCTGAGTTTTCCAAACTTGCTGGAATATTGAGTGTAGCACCGTAACAGCATCGTCTTTTAAGATTTAAATAGTTCACAGGATGTCAATGTTTATTCTTACCTTCTCCTGTTTGACCACATCCAGGTTCCCAAGGTTCAAAGATCTTACATTCCAGGTTCCTATGCAGTATTTTTCTTTGCAGCGTCAGATTTTCCTATCACTTCCAGGCATGTCCGCAGCTGAGCGTCCTTTTGGCTTTGGCCCAACCACTTCATTAGCTCTGGAGCTACTTGTCCTTGTCCTCCGCTCTTCCTCAGTAACAGGTTGGATGCCTTCCGACCTGAGGGGCCCATCTTCCAGCATCATATCTTTTAGCCTTTTGTTTCTGTTCATGGGGTTTGGTCGGCAAAGATACTGGGATGGCTTGCCAGTTCCTGCTCCAGGTGGATCGCGTTTAGTCAAAACTCTCCACTGTGACCCGTCTATTTTGGATGTCCCTGCACAGCATAGCCCATAGCTTCTCTGAATTATTCAGGTCCCTTCGCCACGACAAGGCAGCAATCTGTGAAGGGGAATAAACACTTTACGATGTACAGTACTAACATTTTAAGCAACGTGGGGAAAGCTGTTTTGGAAGTTTGTGTTGATGGCTGTTTCTCCCCAGGTCCAAACATACAGAAGAAATAAGACTACTACATTTAATCATATATCAAAGTGCCAAAATCCTGAAAAAAGTATTCCATTAGTTAGAAGAGGCGGTCTGTCTAAATGGATTATAGTTCAAAAACCTCTGTTTTGCATCACAAATGATGAGATAGCCCATCTCTGTACAGTATATCCAGGAAGAGAAATAATAGTGCCAGTATATTCTGTGTTGGTCAGACCTCACTTAGAGTACTGTGTCCAGTGCTGGACACCACCAGGAAGTATATTGGGAAACTAGAATGTGTCCAAATGAGGGCGACTGGAATGACAAGAAGTTTGGAAACCAAGTGCTATAAGAAATGTTTAGGGAACTTGACATATTCAGCCTGGAGAAGAGAAGACTGAGAAATAATCTCTTTATAATTATAATTACATTAACAAGATAGGCATCGTTACCTTGGATTGTTCCTCTGTCTCAAGCAGATAAGATTTCCTATGTCAATGATTCTGCTCCTTGAAACCTTCTAGTGCTGGGATCCCCAACTCCCGGTCCATGGCCCAGTACCAGACCGTGGAGACAGTTCTCCCCCATGCATTCCCACCTGCATGCACGGGTGCCCCGCCCACATGCACACCCCGCCTATCTGCCTACACGTCAGTGTACCCCGCCCACCTGTGAAAGCATAAGCACATGCCCCACAAGCACACACAGATGCCCCACTCACCCATGCATGCATGAACTGGTGCCCCGCCCACCTGTGAGTGCCCCCCTGCACATGCGCGCACGCCCTGCCCCATGTGCAGCTCCTGCCCCCAACTGGTGCACGGTTTGGAAAAGTTTGGGGATCACTGCTCTAGCAGGTATACAGTGGTGCCTCGCATTACGATCGCTTGGTTTAACGACGAAATCGCATTACGATGAATTTTTTGCGATCACAAAAGGTGTTTCCTATGGGGGAATTTCGCTTTGCAATGATCGGTTCCCTGCTTCGGGAACCGATTCTTCGCAAAACAACGATTTTCCAACAGCTGATCGGCGGTTTCAAAATGGCCACCGGGTAAATAAAACGGCTCCCTGCTGTGTTTAGGGACGGATTCCTCGCAAGACAGGCAGCGAAAATGGCCACCCTATGGAGGATCTTTGCTGGACGGTGAGTTTTAAGCCCATCGGAACGCATTAAACAGGTTTTAATGTGTTTCTATGGGCTTTTTAATTTCGCTTTACGATGTTTTCGTTCTACAGCGATTTCACTGGAACGAATTAACATCGTAATGCGAGGCACCACTGTACTTTATTCCAATGTCTGTATAGTATACCCCAGTATGAAGGTAGCTGACAAATAAGAACATGGAATATACTGCATGGAATTTGTCTGTCTTTACTGTGAATAGGAATGTCTAAACATGTGACTAAACTTGATCTAAACCATACAATTGCAATTCAAAACCACCACTGAAATTAAAGTTTTAATAACATGACCATTACTTGCTCATCGAACACTTAAAATGTATTTTAGATATTCAAAATATCACTGCATCCTCTGGAAGGCAAACAAGTGGAAGAACTTCCAGTGCTTAGTCAAGATGAACTTGAAGCTATTAAAGATCCTGATGTTATTACCAATCAGATAGCTCTTTTAGAAGCTCAATGTCATGACATGAAACCAAACTTGGGAGCTATTGCTGAGTACAATAAAAAGGTATGCATTTGTTTTTTTCCAGTACTTATAGAATTCTTATAAGCAGTTGCAAATATGTGGTACAATTGAGACTTAAGGTGTCACTGATTCCTGTGGAAGCTGTCATGTTTGTAAAAGCTTAAATTATTGGGGTGAATCACATGAAACATCTCCATTGCAGTCCTGAAGTGACTTCACATGGTGCATTTCCCATTCCCTGACATGTGGAAGTCTTAAGATTTGGACCTGCACCAGCAAAGCAATCCTTGGAAATTGGAATTCAGGTAGCAATTCTGTCCATGGGAGTAGATTATTATGGTACTGCACTCTTAAACTGTTACCAGCTTCAGCTTGCAAAATTTTATGAAGGTACGATAGGCCAGTAGAATATATGTGGGTTTTAAAGAAATAATCGTTTTTACCAATAGCAAATCCATAGATTTTTTAAAAAATATGTCTGTGTTATATGTCCCATTTTAAATTATCTTCCTTATTTCTTATTTATTTTTAGGAAGAACTGTACTTAAAACGTGTAGCTGAGTTGGATGAAATTACGAATGAGAGAGATACCTTTAGAGAAGCTTATGAAGATCTTAGAAAAAATAGGCTCAATGAGTTTATGGCAGGATTTAACATTATAACAAATAAACTAAAGGAAAATTACCAAATGCTTACATTAGGAGGAGATGCAGAACTAGAACTTGTAGACAGTCTGGATCCTTTCTCTGAAGGTATCATGTTCAGGTTGGTATTAATTTTCGTAAGGTAAATGAAGGCCCTTTCCCAAGTGATATATGATTTATACTTCGTTCATAATAATTTTATTGTAGAATTTCTGAGATAATATATACAACATGCTTAAAATGCCATTCAAGTGGAACAAAAACAAAACAAAACACCATGCTCATGAATGTGTTCATTGTTTTAGTGTTCGACCTCCAAAGAAAAGCTGGAAGAAGATATTCAACTTATCAGGTGGCGAAAAGACACTTAGCTCCCTGGCTTTAGTTTTTGCTCTGCATCATTATAAGCCAACTCCACTTTACTTCATGGATGAAATTGATGCAGCCCTTGATTTTAAAAATGTATCCATTGTGGCATTTTACATATATGTAAGTATTATGGAAGTCATTGTCACATTGCACATTTTGATTAGTATGAAAAATCAAGATCACTTTAGGTATTGAGGTTGCTGACATCTGTTAAATGAGTTGTAGCATTTTCAGAAGCACCAGCACTTCTCATTCTAATAGACTTGAGCTGTGGAGCTTCTGAGCAGGTAGTGTGCATAAACCCAAATACGTCGTAGTGCCAGCTCTCTGTCAGATTCACACTCTTACAGCGCTACATCCTGGGAGGATTTGCCTTTAACTTGCTGAGCAAGAGAATGGGTATTTGTTTTATTTTATTTACATTTTTATAAATTTTATAATGGAAATTTTATAGTGGCATACAATAATGAAAATACACTACAGTAAAAACAAAATACTGTATTTATATTGTGCTTAAAAATAGTTGGATTATAGTAGGAAGGCTTGCCAAAATTAAGTATGTGTTCAACTACCAGGTTGACACATATCAGATTTCTGAGGGAGGGCACTCCAAAGAAGTTTAAAAAAATTAATTAACCTCTAGTGATTTAAAAAGCCAGCCTGTGTGGCCATGAGCAAACAGCATAGCCCCAGAGTGATCCCAAAAGAAGTAAACCACTTATGAGTATTTTTTTTACCTAGAACAGCCTGAAAAGGATTGCCATGAGTCAGAATTGACTTGACAGCACACAATTAATATTAACCAAAACAGGTCTGGGCATGGTCCCTTAGAAATAAGTTTAGTGTTGTGTTTCTCAGATGTTTAATAGCTGTGACATAATTTGTCATCTTTAAATTGAAGCCGAAGAAGAGACCAGCTGACTCAAAAAACAGTCATAAGTTCACATTCTGGAATGCTTTGTCCTGGGTCTTGAGAGATGACAGTGCCTCACTGTCTTCTTACATGCTTAAAGTGGCATTATCACTCTTGAAAGAAAAGCTATCTGACAAACTTTACTCTCTCTTCTTTACTAAGCCAGTCAAGGAGTGTTGCTAGTCCTGGTGTACAGTTTTATATTGAGAATTACTGACACTGTTGTTTCTAATAGACCAGGTTGTATAGTGATTAAGAAGACATACTCATGGGCAAATTGCTGTACAGTAGAATCCCCCTATATGCAGGATTGTTGTTTAGTTGTTGTGTCCAATTCTTTGTGACCTCATGGACCAGGTCACGCCAGGCCCTCCTGTCTCCCACTGCCTCCTGGAGTTTGGTCAATTTCATGTTGGTAGCTTTGATGACACTGTCCAACCATCTCGTCCTCTGTTGTCCCCTTCTCCTCTTGCCCTCACTTTCCCAACATCAGGGTCTTTTCCAGGGAGTCTTCTCTTCTCATGAGATGGCCAAAGTATTGGAGCCTCAGCTTCAGGATCTGTCCATCCAGTGAGCACTAAGGGTTGATTTCCTTTAGAATTGATAGGTTTGTTCTCCTTGCAGTCCAGGGGACTCTCAAGAGTCTCCTCCAGCACCACAATTCAAAAGCATCAATTCTTCGGCGGTCAGCCTTTTTTATGGTCCAGCTCTCACTTCCATACATCGCTACTGGAAAAACCATAGCTTTGACTATGCGGATCTTTGTCGGTAGGCTGTTCAATACTTCTGTGTTTTTCATCATGTGATCTGAGAACTGATCCCCTGTGGATACTGCGATGCTGCTGTATTTATGTTTGCTTAAAGTTCTCAGAATGTATTTTCACCAATAATTATGAAGCTTATATTTCAACTTCTAGGAACAGACAAAAAACGCACAGTTCATCATAATTTCTCTACGAAACAACATGTTTGAGATTGCAGATAGACTAGTTGGCATTTACAAGACATACAATACAACAAAAAGTGTTGCAACGAACCCCAAGGTGATAACATCAAAAGGACTTGCTGAACTTGGTTCTGTAGGATGCTTCTGAATCTGGAACATGCTTTGATTTTAACAGGTTGATTATTCTGATACATATTTCCCAGTATGCATCACCAGTTAATTGTAATTATTTTTAAATTAAGCATCTTTCTGAATGCCAGACTGCTGAAAAACTGAAGCCCTTCAGCTCTCAGTTGCTACTGAACTATCATACTTGGTATTCAGTATGCATTGGGGAAAGTTATGGGTAGTAAATATTTTTAAATATTTTATTCTGTGTTTTTATTTGTATGTTAAAATAAAATAACTTGTAGAAGCATGGTTTCTTGGAACTTTTTTGTAGATAAATTACTGAAATACATCAACAACAGGCTATATTCTATTTCGAATATGTACATAGATGGGCTCCATTCTTTGCTCTCCAAAAGAAGCTGGCAGTGACCTCTGTTTGAAGCCCTGGAGAACTACTGCCAGCTGGATGGGCAGCTGAGTGAGTTACTGAATGAGCTCAGTGACTGCAGAGCCAGGAGTTATGAATTTAATGCTCCACAATGTCTCTTGAGAGAAGAGCCAGGCTATGCAGCCTTTGGCACACTGTGCTGTCCCAGAGCACTGGTACTTTTGAGTACTTTATACCTAATGAAACCCTGGCAGAGGTCGCCATATGTCAGAATCAATTATTAAATAATAATTAGCACCCAATTATTATTTATAGAGCTGCTACTACCAGCCAGTAGAGAGTTAAACTGGATCAATGATTTGAAGTTATAAGGCAGCTTCCTATACAGTGGTGCCTCGCTTAGCGATTGCTTCATTTAACAATGTATTTGCTTAACGATGGGGTTTTTAAAGAATTTTCCGCATTGTTTAACTATGTTTCCTATGGGCAATTTTCGCTTAGCGATTTCGGGACCATGCTTCGCATAGCGAATGCGTTTTGGGTCCCCTGTTTCGCTTAACGATGTCCGTTTTTGCAATTTTAAAAGTGTCTTAAAATGTTCAAAAACTGTTTTAAATGCTAGGAATCATTAGTGCACCTTCTAAAACATGTGCAAACTTAATTTGTCTTTGTTCTGACTCTTTAATTTTTGGTGAATTTTCTTCTCCCCCATTGGAATGCATTGAACCCGATTTTGACAGCTGTCAAACGGGCTCTTCAATGCATTCCAGTGGGGGAGACAAAAATTCACCAAAAATTAACGAAGACTCAGAAACTGTTTTAAATGTTTGGATTCGTTAGAGCACCTTATAAAACGTGTACAAACTTGATTTGGCTTTGTTCGGACTCTTTGTTAATTTTTGGTGATTTTTTAAAGTTTGCACACGTTTTAGAAGGTGCACTAACGATTCCAAGCATTTAAAACAGTTTTGAACATTTTAAGACACTTTAAAAATTGCAAAAACGGACATCGCAAAACCAATGAAATAGGCTTCAATGCATTCCAGTGGGGGAAACATTGTATCGCTTAGCGATGTTTCCTATGGCGATTTTCGCTTAAGGACGACAATCCGTTCCTATTCTAACGGATTATCCGGTTTTCAATGCATCTCTATGGGAAAACGTGTTTCGCTTAGCGATGTTTTCCCATAGCAATGTGTTTTTTTGGAACCAATTAAAATCGTTAAGCGAGGCACCACTGTATTCCAAAAGACAACAGATTTAAGGTACAGCTTGTGTGTCTGGATTTGTTTTGTGAGATTGAGCACCAGTTTTGTCAGGGTCAGAGCAGTTTCCTCTTGACCTCCTTCTTCTGTTTTGCACTCTATGTAATGTAGTGTTTTTACTAATTAGAATTGTTTATATATATTGTTACTGTATTTTATTGTTGTTAGCCGCCTAGAGTGGTCCTCACCGACTAGATAGGCGGGGTATAAATTAAATAAATAATAATAGTAATAATTATAATTGTGCCCAAACCCTTAGCCCAATCCCTAGCAAGCTCTGCTCTTTGCACAGATGCTGTTCTTGGATTCCCAAATACAGCCATACCGTGATACTTTTCGGGCTGAGAATAAGACAAAATGGCTGGTTAGTGACCTTGTTTTCCCACCATTTAAAACTCTACATTCTTACCAGCAACATGATTGGTCTGGCCTTTTTCCTTTCACTACTGCAAAGCAACAGGAAGCATGTGGAAAGAAGGCTTGTGTGCTGAAACCACAGTACCAACATCTCAAGAAAAAATGTGAAACAAATACAGGAAAGGAATAGCAGGTCCAGAGAAGTACAACCTTTGTAAAGAACACAAATACGAAGGTTTTCCAAGGAGCCGATTCCCATTATACAGTACTTCAGAATAACTAGTCTGCCAGTGCATCTTTAACAGCTGTCCAGTGTGGTTTGGTAAATAGCAGAGCATTGCCTTCTTGCTAAAAGGATTTTGATGTTTGACCATGGGGCAATCAGATTAATATTTATCACAGAATTTTTAAAAATCTGTGTTTAAGTAACTTGAACTGCATGCAAGGAAGCAAAACATGTAACAGAACTGGAGTGCAGTTTGGTGTAGCAGCACAGGAAAGAATGGCTGAGTAAAGTTCCATCGTTGATTATTGCTGCACAATGATTTGAAGGCTTCTTCAGTATTGTGCCATTATAATCTAAGTCACTGCATTCCCATCAGATCCAAAGATACCTGAAAGTTTCCAGTGTCCTGAAGCTGTGATTACAGTACCTGTGTGCTTCAAGCCTAATATAACTTTAATTTCAGAAGCCCAAGTCTAATCCCTAGAAAACATAGTCCTTATAATTGCCCATACTGAGAGGATGCCATAGATAATTATCACCAGATTGTGTTTAAATGAGATCTGAGACATATGTGGGTTTCTTGCTTTTATTAAAAATATTTACAGAAGTAATTTTATAATAATGGTATGTTGTTAACTGAAATCAAGATTAAAATATTTAGTACAATAAAAGGTACAAATTCTGTATTAAAACTTGGAAAAATAATGTGTTTACAAATAATGTGTAAAAACATGGCCTTTAATATACTAGAAGAATAAAGATATAATCTTTAGGGCAGCAGTCCCCAACCTTTTTTGGGCTGTGGACCGGCTGGGGGAAGTGAGCTCCATGCGCGGGGAGCTTGATACCTCTGCATGAGCGCGACACACCCACCATGGGTGCAACACCCCCCATGAGCATGACATGCCCACTGCACTTGCATGGGGGCGGAGATCTGTATCCACAGCCCAGTTCCGGCAAGCCCACAGACCGGCACCGGATGTTGATGACCCCTGCTTTAGGGAATATAGACAGACTTACTGTAAGTCACATAAGCACCGCCATGGTGAACACATCAACTGGAATTTCATAGAACAGTGCTCCTCTCAGCAACCTGTTAATTGCTTACCACACAATTACTATCAATGGTATATCGTAAGACTGGCAAGTAAGTGACCCCCAAATGATCTAGTTTTTACTCTTAACAGGCTGTTGTAAATTTGATTAATGAGAACTGTAGAGTTGTTCAAAGATTAGTACATTACTATGCACCACTTTCTATGAACTTATGTAACAGCTGGCTAAACAAGATTGTCACTTGGATTATCTTCCCAATTATTTGCCACTTTAGAGATTCAGCTGCATCAACAGATTCAGGACACACCTCTTCAAGTATTTGTAAGCAAAGTATTCTAGAAATCTTGCAAAACTGACTTGAGGTTGACATCTGCCTTGAGCCATTAAATTAGAAGTCTTAGGAAATAAATGCAGTGAAGTACGCAACTTGGGGAAAAATGTTTCTGCCTGAAAATGATGCTTGCCATGAAACAGTCTATAGTGGACCCTCTACTTACGGAATTAATCCGTTTTGGAACGGTGGCTGCAGGTCAAAAAGTCTGTAGGTTGAGGTGTCATTGACCTGCAATACATTGAAAACCGATTAATCCGTAGCAGGCCATTTTTGTTTCGTTTTGGTTTTTTTCTGGTCTGTAGGTTGATTCTCCGGCTGCAAGTCGAACCTAAATTTTGCAGCCAGAGAAGTTTGTAATTCGAAAAGTCTAAGTCGAGCCGACTAAGTCGAGGGTCCACTGTAGATAGAACAGAAGGAATTAAGACAGACAAAAGGAAGGCAGGATCAGATGTGACTGCAAGTGAATCAAAATTTGCCTTTAATGTGCCTCTACTCTCTAGTCCCAACCCGTTCCTCATACTGTCTGACTGCAGCTTGTCAACACAGGTAAGGGTGAAACAATATGTAAGTTGCATTCTCACATATGAATATCACAAACTGCTCAAATAGGCTCAAAAGTCTTATTTGCAAGAGGGAGTCCATACAGTTCAAACTAATAGTTTGATTTAATTTTTAATATCCTGATATTCATGACTGGTGCCGACATATTTGTTCACAATGCTGGGTAGTGAAAGTTTGACACAGCTGATAAAAGGCTCCATCATAAGTCACTAATAGTTACCATACTAGATTTAGCATAGGGATTAAAAATTCATTTTAAAAAATTAAAATAATCCAGAAGGGCTTTTATATTCTTAATTTAGCAGAAAATACTACTCAAAATATTCACAAGGAAGAACGAACTACTGTACATAGATAGTCCAATAGACGATTAGAAGTATGCCACAGTGTTTCCACCACTACCTCCAACCTCTTACTTAAGTTTTCATAAACTATTTGCAAGGCATCTAGAACATACAGCAAGGCTATTTCATTTACAAATGACATTAACTGTTGGCTAAAGATGATAGCAACTACAATCAGAGAAATAATTGTAATTACTAAAGGCCACAAAAATTCTTTAGCTTGTCTATTTTCCTTCTCATAGCCAGGGTTGCATACTTTTCCTTTTGAAACTAGTTTTATCTTTGGAATGAGAATCTTGTTGATCTGACTAATTTCAGTTTTGGTCCACACTTCTTTTAGCACCTGTCCTATTCGAGGATAGATTTCAACAGGCTTAACTTCTGGTAATGGTTTTTGCTTTAAAGCTTTGACACGCTGACGCATATCCTCAACCTTTTCCAGAAAAAGAAGGGGTGACTCCGAGTCCTCCTGAACAGGTGTATTCAGCGACATAAGTTCAAGTTGTTCTTCTCGTAGTCCCTTCAACTTCTCAATTAGAGGTTCATATTCTGCCACAATCTGTGTGTTCACTTCATCCAAAGCTGCAAGCAATGCCTGTTTTTTGTGATCAAGTACATCACTGAGTCTCTTAAAATACTGCAGCACAGTCTTTATATCCTCTTGTACAATGCTCTCACACTGAGCTTTCTGTTTTTCCAGGTTTTCAATTAGCATGCATACTTCACTCCAATGCTTATCAGTCAACTGTTCAAGAAGTTTGGCAGGCGTCTCTTTTTCTTTCATGTAGGCACTTTGAAGATCATCTATAGGATGGCCATTATGCTTTCCTATTGTAAGGCAATGGCCACACACTAACTTTCTGTCTAGAAGGCAGTAAACATTTAATGGCTGTCTATAATGTTCACTACATGTTGCAACATCTGGATGGTCTTCTTGCTGATACTTTTCAATAATAGCTTTTAATGCAAAGTTTACTGGTAAAGAGTCTGTACCAGATGGAGGAATTTCAACAATGGTTCTACAGTTGGGGCACTTTAGGGGAAGTCTTAAGGGTCTCCAAATAGAAAAATTGCTTGACAAGTGAAGAACATTTTCAAGACAATTTCTACAAAATGTATGTGAGCATGGCAGTACACGGGGATCATCAAATATGCTATAGCAAATGGAACAAGTTAGTTCTTCTTCAAAATGATGCATTTCCTGAAAAGAACAAAATATAAATTTAAAATGTTATTCTTGTTTTAAGCAAATTTAATAAACTAGTTTTTATTCAACAGCAGAAATCCTGGTCATCCAGCTATGTACCATAAGGCTAATAATTTAATCACCCACTGCATTTTTTATTTTTTTATTTTTTGGGGGAAATAAAATATCCCTCATCTTCGGGAAGCCATTGGGGCCAGCACAATGGAGGGAGAAATCTTTAATTTAAAAAAATTTCGGACCTAACCTCTTAACAGACAACACCTTTTGGTTTAAGTCTTTTCTTATCCAAGTACAATTGACCAATTATATGATTATATATAGTTACCTTCTATTTCAGTTATAAAATGTTATGGTGACAGTTGTATTGCAAAATACCAAGCATGTTAAGGGAAATTATATAAGCAGTTTTCACCATTTTCTAGATGGTTCTCTCATGACCTTGCTACATCCAAATGCAAAACATACAGCTTGCAGCCATCACACATACAATTCTGTGTTTACACCACACAAACCCAATAGGCCTGTGTTACAAAGCAGGGTAGATAAACGTCAATGAAAACCCAATAGGCCTGTGTTACAAAGCAGGATAAACGTCAATGATTTTTTTTAAAATCAAGTTGATTTAAATCACAACTTAGATCACAATTGAAATTTAAAAAATCATTTTTTAATTTAAATGATCAAAAAACCCAATTTATTGATTTAAAGCAGTAAATCAAATCTACCCTGCTACAAAACACAATCTAACAAGATGAAAAATATTTCTTGCAATATTCAGGCATGTGATTAAAGATAAAATCAGTGCCAATGATCCTGTTCCTTGATACTGTGCAACAGATCACAATATGAGTGGTTCAACAGTTACATTGTTCAAAGAGGCATCCAACCCTCCCTCTGCAAGTCAAGCTTACTCAGAAGCATTTTTGCTAAGGCATCACTCAGGCAAGCAACGCTGCCCATGTTAGTCTTCTACCACAGTTTTCTATTCAGCAGTCTTGATATCTTCTCCAACTCACAGTTCCTTGTGGAACAACATCCAGAAAGATCAGACAGTATTGAAATAAATCAGGGGTGAAGAAAATGTGGTCTTCCAGTTGTTAAATTACAATTCCCAGAAGCCCTAGTTATTATAAGCAATGCAAAAGGATAATGGGAACTGAAGCCTCTGCAGAAGACTACGTTACCCACTATTGTTTATCAGGATGTCTGGACATACTTAACATATTGAATTAGTACAATCTGCCCAGGGATAAGGTATCTTGCAGGGAAGCAAAGAAAAGGATTTTGTTTTTTATGTTTTTGTTTACCAGCAGAAAAGGTGATTGGTTTTACAAAACCATTGTTTTTTAGAGATGTAAATGTAAGAAGCAAAGTCTATTTGAGATGCCGCAGTAATTCATAAATCTTGTAATTGAAATTTAGTCACAAGAGGCTGGTCATCCTTGAGAACATGCAAGACAGATTATATTTAGGGAATGTTCTCTAAAAATTGTCTATCTTCTCTCCTTGTTGACTAGAAATACTATAAAGAAAACTAAAAAGAAACTTGATTTTACAAGTTTTACAGTTCAATCACTGATATTTCTATTCAAGTACAACAAACCCCTTCATTTTATGTGACATATACTATCAAGATAACTAAAGCTTAGGACATCTAAGAAGTAATGCATCTTTTACTAAGCCTTACGTAAAATTACTTGTCAAGGAATTGTAAAATTACTTTACAAGGAATGTAAAATTACTTGTCAAGGAACGCCCTTGCACAAGCCACTTTGAAATACACAGGGAAAGATTGTTTTGCAAAAATTCACTGTGACTTGTGCTCATAAACTAAGAATAATAGGTTTTCATCACCTACTCATTTAAGAAGCCATTCCAGTTTACCAAGAGAACAGATAAAAACAGGTTAGAAAGCAGTGAAAGAGCAGGCTTGTTTTACTGAAGTTTACGCCCCTACAGCCGTTCTATAACTTATTGTTTTGTTGAAAAATTATAAATAAGAAGCAAAGTCCGTTTCTCAGTCCTCATGTCACTTTCAACATTTTAAATTTCCAAATACTGAATAAATTTCTACAATATTTAACATCACTCTATTAAAATATATCAGTGTAACCTATTTATATCTACATCAAATTAATACTAAGGGGTTTTTTAAAAAATTAATTAAAGGCATCATTTCCGCTTGCACATTAGTCAAGTCTCAATTTCTCCAGTCAGCTTTTTGCAAGATAACCCTATAAGTACGACTGGTCTGATACAAACTGCTGGCAGATCGTGAAAGACTCGACACCGAAAGGGACATCAACACTTGGACGGGGCCGGCACCGGTGTTATGGGGCTGACAGGACTTAGCCTCGTAGCAGTATATGAGAGAAAAAGCAGGCAGGTCATCGACTCGGTCCACTGAGGAGGGGAAGCGAAATGCCACAGAAAAACCACATCGACTAAAACGCCAAGAAATACGATCTGAGCGGCCACGGGTTTGCACTCGCATCCCATTCCTAGCGTCGTTCTCTTGTTGTACGAAGCGGCCAACACCTTTCGGCCCCCTTGCGCGGCAAAACCCTGGGAAGACAGATGCAGCAGAGACGAGAACGACCTACCCCGCCTTCTCCTCTCTTCCTAAGCTGTTTCTTCTTCTAAAAGGCAAGATACAGGTGCGAAGGCCTCCCACGCCGCCCCTCAGGTGCTCACCTCAGCCCCCCGCGTCGCCGCCCCGTCAAGCGCCTGTCGGTTCCCTCCTTTCCCCCCAACAAGTCTTCAGCTTTCTCGAGCCGAGAGCAGACCGAGTTCCCGAAACCCCCTTTCGTCCTCTTCCAATCAGCGGCAGCGCCAAGGGGGAAAAAAAGAGAGGCGGCCTCGCGCTGCGCATGTCCCGAATAGAAGCCGGCCGCCTCGAGCCAATCAACGGCTTCGTTCCTTTCGGTTCAAAAGTAAACGGAAGGATGGGGGAGGGGACTTGGACGAAGACGGCGGTTCGGGCTGTTAACGGCTCTCCTCAGGTGGGCCGGGCAGCGGGTGGAGATTGTGCTCCGCTTCTCTCCTCCTGGGCTTCGCCAAGAAACGCCAGAAGTCAGCAACTGATTGTCAGAGAAAATAAACGAGCAAAAAGCACCGCCCGCCCACAGATTTGTTCTCGAGAAGCGCAGACTTTACGAAGCAGGCCCGCGTTTTCAAAAGAGTGAGGTTTTAAAAGGAGCAAAAAGAAAACAAAACCAAAAAAAAGTACGAGGGTAAACGACTAAGCCTTCCCGGGTACAAGCAGCCTAGCTCTGCAAGTGCTGGAAGCCACATTCAGGCCAATGGCATCTACTTGCCTGGCCAGTTAAACCTGCTTGGGAGTTCAGCGTTTTTCCAGTGCATCTGTTGAGGGCGTACTCCGGTGGAAATCACTGTAAAATTTAGAGGGAGAGAGAACTTGAAACGTGCTTTATTTCTTTAGATTATACCTGACTAGCCCAATGGTTGTTCCTACTTTCTTCAGTTTAGGCTTGAATTTTGCTATGAGAAGCTGATTATCTGAGTCACAATCTGCTCCAGGTCTTGTTTTTGCTGACTATATAGAGCTTCTCCATCTTTGGCTGCAGAGAATATAATCAATCTGATTTCAGTATTGCCGGTCTGGTGATTTCCATGTGTAGAGTCGCCTCTTGTGTTGTTGGAAAAGAGTGTTTGTGATGACCAGCTTATTCTCTTGACAAAACTCTATTAGCGTTTGCTTCGTTTTGAACTCTTAAGGCCAAACTTTCCTGTTGTTCCTTTTATCTCTTGACTCCCTACTTTAGCATTCCAGTCCCCTAGAATGAGAAGAACATCTTTCTTTGGTGTCAGTTCTAGAAGGTGTTGTAAGTCTTCATAGAAGCAATTTCAGCCTATTCAGCATCAGTGGTTGGTGCATAAATCTGGATTACTGTGATGTTAAAAGGTCTGCCTTGGATTCGTATTGAAATCATTCTATCATTTTTGAGATTGTATCCCAGCACAGCTTTTCCCACTCTTGTTGACTATGAGGGCTACTCCATTTCTTCTATATGATTCTTGCCCACAGTAGTAGATATGATAATTGTCTGAATTGAATCTGCCCATTCCCGTCCATTTTAGTTCACTGCCCCCCCCCCCGCCTGCCACTCTCTCTTAGGTTCCTATGCAGTATTTTTCTTTGCAGCATCGGACTTTCCTTTCACTTCCAGGCACGTCCACAGCTGAGCGTCCTTTCAGCTTTGGCCCAACCACTTCATTAGCTCTGGAGCTACTTGTACTTGTCCTCCGCTCTTCCTCAGTAGCATGTTAGATGCCTTCTGACCTGAGGGGCTCATCTTCCAGTGTCATATCTTTTAGCCTTTTGTTTCATGGAGTTTTCTTGGCAAAGATACTGGAGTGGCTTGCCAGTTCCTGCTCCAGGTGGATCGGGTTTAGTCGGAACTCTCCGCTATGACCTGTCTTGTGTGTCCCTGCACAGCATAGCCCATAGCTTCTCTGAATTACTCAAGCCCCTTCCCCATGACAAGGCAGCAGTCCGTGAAGAGAAAGAGTCTATACATCTGCTCTAATCACTTCACAAAGGGCTAGCACAATTGACAGAATGTTATTTATATGGAAACAAGCTGCTATTGTCAGAGGTAATATTATCTGGCCCCAAGTAAGAATTCCCCCACAAGTCTTCCTGACTCCATTGATAACTTGAAACAGTTTTCCATGTGGCATAAGAAACCAAAAGGCCAATTGGATGGGCATTTGTCATATGCAGGGACAGGTTGGTTTGCAGTGTAGATGAGTCTTTAAAAATGTCTCAGTGGTGTACAGGCCAAAATCTCATGCTACACATGGTTTGTGGAAAGGCATTTCAAACTTTGTCAATGCTTACAATGCTCACCATATAGCACAGTAGTTCCCAACCTTGGATAACACAAGTGTTATTGAACTGCAACTCCCAGAAACCCCAGTCAGTACAGCTAGTGGTGAAGGCTTCTGAGAGTCACAGTTCAAGAACATCTGGGTTACCCAAGGTTAAAATCCACTGATATAATAGAACTAAGTAATCTCTTTAACCATGACGCTCTCCTTTGGCAAAGTGACTTTTGGGCTGCCAGCATACCTGAAACATTGTCCTCAACCCTACTGAAAACAAGCCACTCTGGCATTGAAGTATACACACCAACTGTTCACAACTTGGCCTTTCAACTGGTCCATACTGACATGACAATTCAAGTGACTTCTCGATGTTATATCAACTCTTTTTAACCTGCTAGAACCTCTTGACTGAATCCACCTTAAGCAAATAGAGTTTTTGTTTTTAAGTATTTAGTGGCTAACTGTGTAATTGTAAAGGCAATATAATCTAAATCTGCTCAGTATAACTCTATATCCATCAACAAATAAGGACAAGGACTAAATGCTGTTGGCGAGAAGGTCCATACTACAGCTATGCTTGCCCCTACTGTTTTCATCCTAAAATGTTTAATAGCCAGCTAAAGTGTATATTTTATTCAATCAACAATACTTCCTCTTAAAGAAATTTCTCAGATCTTTGTGAAAATCCATAAGAGGATTACATCTACAAAATGTAAACATGAGCAGATATTTTATCATGAAATCCCCTGTCTGGCTAAACAAAAAGATAAATACATGCATGCATTTGTCAGCAAGTGATAGGGAGTGCTGTGTTGACCACCACACTGGCTCCACTGAAGCCCCAGGAGGATTTCTAGCCCTCATGGAACTTGCCTGCATCATCAGAAGGCATCGCAAAATTGGCCAGCTGCCCAATAACAAAGAATTGTATTTGTTTATCCTACGTTTCTCCTAAAAAGGACTCAAGGTAGCTTACAGTATTACAAAGAAACAATATTACAAGCTATTACAAATTATGACTTTATTTAAAAAGATAAAGAATATATTAATAATAGATAAAAACAGTACTTAAAAAGACATTTCAAAGGACCACATTCAAAACCAAGAAGACACAAACCTATTTTACAAAAAACTCAGACACCTGTTGTAGCTGCTGATTGATGTCATGGATGATGGGGCAGATAAAAACCCCAGGGTAAAACAAACTAGGAGGAATGTCAGTAGTCAAGGAGAACAAGGAAAGAGGAAATGTGGAGGTTGAATACAGCTTGGAGAGGCAAGAAGTTGCCAAAATGTCAAATCCACCAGCTGGGGAGGAACCAAGAGGAGGGTACTGGTCCTACTGTGGAGAAGGAGGGAGGTGGTCAGACTTTAGCTTTGGATCTCTTCCTCAAAAGAAAGCAAGTTTTGGGAGATGATTAATTAAATTGGCTGACTGGCTTAGGTGAGAAATGAGACATTGGAGTGTTAACAGGACAGGTGCTATGAACCGAATTCTCAAAGGCTTGATTCCTGCAAAACTCACCACATACCCAGGCCTAGATCCTGCACAGCTTACTTCAACCATGCTCCTCCTCCTTGTTCAATTTTGTATCATATCAGTAGCATAATCCAGGAGGGGAGAAGTTTTCCAACTGAAGAGTCTCCTTTTTTCAACCAAGGGCTCCCACAGCTCATAGAATCATTGGGTTGGAAGGAGCCTGTAAAACCGAGTCCAATCCCCTGTTCAATGCAGGAATCCAAATCAAAGCAGATCTGACAGATAGTTGTCCAATTTTCTCTTTAATTCCTCCAATGTTGGAACACTCAGCACCTCCCATAGTACAGTAATTGGTTCCATTGTCATTCTGCTCAACCATCTCTGTTAAGAGGTTTTTCCTGATATTCAGCCTAAATCTAGCTTTCAGCCTCACATACAATAAGACTGATTACCAAAGATCTCCTTCTGCTACTAATATCACCATTCTTCTCTTTAATTCCAAACAACTATTTTCTGATGATACCATCAAGCCCCCCACAGGAAAAGCAAAGTCATATCAGAATCAAGTTGTTATTGTCTGGGAGTTCCAAAGCAAGAGCCCAACAGTCTGAAGATTACATCAGGAGCAAAACAAGAGATACAGTCATGGGAAAAAGAAAGTATACCCTCTTTGGATTCTATGGTTTTAATGATCAGGACATAATATAAATCATCTGGTTCTTTGCAGGTCTGAAAATTAGGTAAATACAACCTGAAACGAGCAACAACTGGACATATTACACCATGTCATTATTTATTTTACCAAAATAAAGCCAAAATAGAGAAACTATGTGTGAAAAACTTACATCTTATGATTCAATGGCTTGTAGAACCATTCTTAGGAGCAATAACATGAAGTAATAGCTTCCCTTCCCTTTCCTTTTATACCACCCATCCGGCTGCCAAGGCTACTCTGGGCAATTTTCACATTAAATTTTATGTTTATGACTTTATGTATGTACAGTTTATACATTAAACTTTATGAATGACTTAATCAGTCTCTCACATCATTGTAGAGATACTCGGAGGGATCCCCTCCACCTAATATTGCAACAATTACAAGACAGGTCCAGAGAATTTTATGCTGTGCTCTTACTCCCGGACACAAAGTGTGAGCCTCGTGGCGCAGTGGTTAAAACGCTGTACTGCAGCTAAAACTGTGCTCACGACCTGGGGTTCAAATCCCAGGTAGCCGGCTCAAGGTTGACTCAGCCTTCCATCCTTCCGAGGTCGGTAAAATGAGTACCCAGCTTGCTGGGGGGGCAATGTGTAGCCTGTATAATTAAAAATTGTAAACCGCCCGGAGAGTGCTTGTAGCGCTATGGGGCAGCATATAAGTCCAATAAATAAATAAATAAATAAATAAATATAACCACAGCAGTGGCAAAGTTCTGTGCAGCAGCAATAAGGTGGCGCTGTTGCCTCCTTGCACCAATCAAGGCGAAGCTAGATTTCTAGTATTT